CGACTGGCACATGAACGCGCGCGCTGGCGTGCGCGGGGAACTGCTGGCGTGCACTGGGCATTGCCAGCGGAGTGCAGTTGCGGCCAGTCTGTGCGCTACGCCTCGCGGGCTTGCGCAAACGCTGCCTGTCCGCGCTGGCTGACTATCGGCGAACTGATGCCGCTGCGTGCGGACAGCGTGACCACGACCGGCCCTTGCCGGCCGTCCGGTGATTTCTCTCGACTGTTTTAACATGAAATAACATGAAATGACTTGACATGACCAAATCTGCTGAAAATACTCAATATCATGAATTTTTGAAAGATGAGCTAAGGTGGTCGGTGGCGTGCGCACCGTGCGCCGCCTACGACGTTAAGCCGATTCTCGACCAAACTTGATTTTTCTTTGACAACTAACTCATAACTGAACATGAAATAACTTTTACTGATCAAACCAACATGAATTGCTCGAAGGACCATTATTTAACATGATCGTTAAATATGCACGGCCCATGACACGCGCTACGTACGCGACCACATCTCTTGGCCAATTAACCGACTAAACATGAAAATCCCTCGACCAACATGAACTAACTGAACATGAAATGATATAAAATAACTAAATTCATGAAAGTTGCTCGAGAGTTTTTTAATCAAAACTGAACATGATTGTCACGATCTAGTACGCACGACCGAGAGCAACTTAAGGCTACAATATGAAATCGATTCTCATGAAAATGATATTAACTACAGAAAAGAGGTCCCAACCAATTACCTCTTCAACAGCTCACTTGATCGTGCTAAACGCTCGAAACACCTGAAGCTCGACACGTCCGGGCGTATGGCCGAAGCTTACGTGCGCAACCCTCACTTAAGGAAACTCTCTAATTCTCTCTATACTTAGCACATATATTCTAAGGTGTGTAGGAGCAAAATTCTACCCAATATATACTATATATATAGCTGAAAATGAAGTGAAGAGGCGGGGAAAATAATTTGTCCAATAATTTTACACCATGTGCTAGATGTTTGGAACTTAAGGTGCTTAGCCCTTAATCATCACTTAGACCCTTATTATATTGCCACCTCATGCTACTAATTCAAAGACATCTCAAATGATCTTACATAAAAAAAAATGCTTACGACACTTTTAAAGAATTTAAATGAATTCCTCCAAAATGCATACGACATTTATTGATTTGAGCATGATTAATTACTAATTAAGCATAATCTATATGCTTAATTAATTAATAAACATGATACTTAATTACCAAAATTATTTCGAACGAAAACGTGACGTGGAAAATAATTTCGGATAATCTCGACTGAAATAATTAATTTCGAAAATAATAATCAATAATATTATTATATCGGAACTAAACACATGATTTATATTACTAACATGACGGGATATTACAAACGCACCCCGCACCCTCGCTGCCCGACGCCCGCGCATCCCAGCCACCTGCGCGTATCTCGCTCGCCCAGTCACCCGCGCGCCCAACGCACCCAGCACCCAGTTGCGCGCTCGTGAGGCCAGTCACCACTGGCCTTGCCCAGTAGCATGCCAGCGTGCACAGTCACCCGTGGTCGTGCCCAGCAGCGGCCGACAGCACCCAAGGCTTGCCCAGCAATGCCCGGCAGCACCAAGGCCGTGCCAACTCGCGCATGCGACCGCGCCAGACAACCAGCAGGCCCTGGGCGGGGTCGAGCCTAGTTAGCCCAACCAGCGGCCGATCGCCCGGCCACATCGTGTTGAAAGTCCGGCCAGCCAGTGAACCGGCCGGTCTAGACCGGTTATCCGAGCATTTTATTTCTAGTTTTTTCGGTACAAGTTTATTTCAGATTTTCAGTAAATTTTTTAGTCTAGTCAGTTCACTATAATAATACCAATTAGGTTCAGATTTAAAATCGGTTAAAATGGAACTCTAGATTGTTCCAATAAATTTAGATATATTTCCAGTTCAGTTGAGCATCTTAGCAGTTATTTTTAGTAAGTCTGAGCATAACACTTTGCAATTGTTTATTTTTATAATTTTCCAGTTTGAGCAGTCAGCAGACAATCAGCACTTACATTTTCAAAACCAGCAATACTGGTGGGGACTCAGATTGGGTATTACATTGAGTATAATTACAGCTATCATGTTTGAGGTATGTATATTCAGTTCCGCTTAGGGTGGTGGTTAGATACCGTATGTAACACCCCACTTTGATTTTAAAGAAATTCCGGACTTTCCAAAAATCAGTATAAAATTTTCAAGATCATTTTCAAAACTTAGTGGGTGTTAAACAACATTTTCATAACCCAAGTCTTATTTGGGCCTACGGGGATTCATTACCCGGTTTTCACAAATGGTTTTCATTAACCAAACACATCACGAGGCATAATTCTCAACACGAATATATAATCAAACCATCATACCCAACATCAGGGTTCCATAAATTTTCTAAAAACACACAAGCCATAAGTTCTGGAAAATAGTTTAATCAAGTCTCATCATAAAGGTTCATAAAGCCTTATTTTTTCAAATGGAATCAATAACATGCATAAATAAATGACCGACCCACTCGCCTCTTCTCGTCACCCAGCTCCTGCTTAACCTGCATCGGTGAAGAGCAGGTGGGGATGAGCACAAGATGAAAAGCGTGCTCACCACTATACAAATATATCACAACATAAATAATGAAGAGAAGGTATGGTTAGAGTATGAACATAAAACAATTACTCTGTCACGTCTCCTAATCACATCACAACATAATACCCATGTGTACACATCTTTCATTAGCCAAGGAAAGGGGATTCATTACCCTAACTCATGGGGGTATGTGCCATACGACAAGGCACGACCTTTCATTAGGTCTTACGGAGAATTACCTCGCAAGGTAACCGTATTATATCGACGAGGACAACCGTACCGACGGCTGAATCGTCACGCCGATAGGCTACATGGTTTACGTGCATAATAAAATCATACCAAATCAACATTATAATAAACACATACGGCATAGCAAATTTTTAGATTAAAACCCACCTAGTATAGCAACGGAGAAATGGCACACAAACGGGAGTAGGCAGCGAGCACGGCTCGTTAGACACCTACAACAATTATATACTAAGATCAACACCTACTTGACCTTAGAGAATAATCACAAGCATACATTGGTTGAACTTGATTCAACCAAGTAGTTCGTGAAGTTCCATGGATATTAGAACTTAGACTTGACCAAAAATGCATATAAACACCACACATAGACTTAGCACGCAAAACAAAGTCAAACAGGTCAAAGGCACACACAAGGGTTCGGGAAAAATATAAAGAAGGCTTGGGACGGGCCCCGGACTGCTCGTTGGCACGGTCGGGGCATGGCTGGGCGCTGTGACGATGGACCGTGTTGTTACTCTATTTATACGATTCGTTTATCCACGATAGATGTATCTAACAGACGCACTTCGGCCTTCTCCTAACCGTGACTTCAAAACGCTCTAATGGCCTTCTCTCCGACACTGTATGTAAACACGCACTAACGGCCTTGTTTAAACACACGTAAGAACAACAGTT